AGTCTCATCTTTATATTCACATCACTGATTTGATTGTGATGTTTAGATGGAAACCATCAACAAGAAGCTTACTTGGTCTAGCGGGTGCCGTTCCGACTTCAATCAACGCCGAGCAAAAGCCAACAAACAACGTAAAGAATACAAGAGACCACAGCTCAAGGCACTCTTGTCCGGCCATCGTATACGTTGGGGTATCCGTGCCAAAAGATGGGAACGGATGTGGGAAGCTCGAGATGTCAGTAACAAGTTTGCATTCTCTAATGCCTCTCTCCAAACCCATTGTATTTATTCTTTTCAGCTAATTGATACTGTCATGAGAGAGGATCTTACCAAGGTTCTTTCAAAAAGACGTTGTCCAAGAAAGGACGGTAAGAAACACAGTTATTTCAAAGAAGTCACTTTCTCAGTTGCGGATTGGCAAGCAATGAGAGATCTCTTAGATGTACTCACGGTAATATCTCTACTATGAATCTTCATTCTTTTCGTATCATCCATTTTCCCAACTGATTACTTGGTACCTATGTCCAGCCTTTCAAGATCCTAACTCGAGAGATGGAGGGTAATATCCCAACAGGTTGTATGGTCCTCGTAAAGTACATACAACTCAAGTCCTCCATGAAAGAAAGGTTGAGCAAGATGCACAAAAACGATTCTCTGTACCCGATGGTCGACGTGATGCTTGGCAAAGTTGCATTGTATTTAGAGGAGGCTCTGGAATGTGACACATTGGCTCTAGCTGCTGCATTTCATCCTGGCCTACAACTTTGATTCTATGCCCACACATTTGGAGAAGGTTCAGCTGAACATGACCAATCCAAAGCACTCCTTCAAGTGGCATTCACCAAGAGGAAGTTTCCCTTTGACATCCAGTCACAAGCACACCCAGTCCTACGGAATCTCAATCTTGTCCTGCTGAATCTCGATCCCCTCCTTCAATTTTTGAGCCAGGCTACCTTGATTTTTACAATGAGGTAGCATCAGAGAGCAACCTTAATGAACTAGACCAATATCTCCAAGGGATTGACCCTATGGTATCTCCTGATCGAAACAATCCTCAATATTCATTGGATTGGTGGAGGGTGAGTGCAAATATTCATTTCTCTTTTCACAGCAATATACTTCATTTAATGATTGTGTCTCTTTCACAGGCCAATGAAGGAAAATATCCTGTGTTATCAATCTTGGCTAGGAATTACCTAGCCACACCTGCAGCTAGTAGTCCCCCAAACGATTGTTCTCTGTTGCTGGACATATTTGCAGCAATGAACGAGGTGGATTACAACCTCAAATGATCAAAATGTTAGTTAGTGGGACACTTTGGATGCTAGAAGGGGTACCTCTGACAAGGTCCTTTGCTGAAGTGGGCAAGGTGATTGAGTGGGCAAAGAAGCTGCTTGCAAAAAAGACCCAAAAGTCTTACGTGCAATTTTTCTTTTTTCTTTTTCAATCATTTACCTTTATATCTATATCTATTTACCTCTTCTTTACATTTTCTATACACTCATTGAAGGTTGTCTATTCTTCACACTTGTTCAAACTAACAGTTGTCTTGTTATTTTCCATAATCTTTCTTATCTTTCATAATCTTTAAAAAATCAATTTGCTATTGATTTATTTACACTCTTTTACACCTTTATGTTTTCTATACACTTTTTTGATGACAATTTGGCTTTGATTTTATTTTATTCCTTTAGTTTGAAAATAACACTTTTTTTTGCTGGAACCGCTGTGTGGCGCTGCGAAAAAAAACATGCTTTCAGCTACTACTTTTGTGCCCAAAATTAATTGAGCTACTGTTAGAGCTACCACAACCAAACATGGTTTTTCACCACTACACTGCCCATTTCAGCAGTTTCAGCGCTGGGTAGCGCTGCAAGCCAGACTTAGAATAAGAAAGTGGTTGAGGAAAGTTTGTATGGAATAGAAAGATGAAAAAGTAAATATGAACAGAAAGGTGTATGGATTATATACCTTCTCTTTTTTGGCAACTAGATCACAAATCAAACAATGTCTCTTCAGCCAACCACTTTCAATCAAACATGTACACATTGGGACACAGCCAATCAACAATTGACCTGAGCAGTAGGATTTGCTCAAACAGCAAAGCTTGAGCTACTTTCCAAACAGTGAGCAAGAAACTGATTCTAAGTCCGGTTCAAAAAGTTTGGTGCTGGGTTTCCAAATGAAGTAAGAGAAAATTGTTGATCTTGATGGAAAGGGTTAGTTTTCAGTATGGTCCTGGATTTGGTCAGAGGGAGTTTATCACCAGCCTGCATTTCCTGGTTTCAACCTACACAACCTTGGCTGGCCTTTCCAGATTGTCTTTATCCATCTTGATGTCCCTTGAAGTTGGATTGCCAAGATCTTTCACTAGCTCAAACTACCTTACAGCACCAGAGACAGCCCTGACATGCCAAGTGGCTACAGACAGTGCAGTGATCTTGTTTGTTAGGTATGTTAATGAAAGCAAATTAAGGATGAGATTGGCTTATGTAATTTCCATCATGAGTTAGGCTACCAAAGTAATTGAACAAAAAATCAAATTCTTTAGCCAGTTTATCAAATTTCCTTTTTTCTGAGGCAGGTGTTTTGATTTCCCAAATCCTGTGCCAAGTCTACCACAGGAGGAAACAATACCTACGAATTGATGAGCGCAAGTTAACAATCAACATTCCATCAGTTTGAAAATTTTAGAATCAATCATCATCAATTCACACACTTGGGGGGCAGATAAAGAATGTTTTTGCAAAATAAACCTTTCACTTACCTTTGCACCTGGTACAGGCTTACTTACACACTTGCCGGCTCAGAATCCAATGTCAGAAAGGCAACAGTCTCATGGTTAGGGGAATTTAGATCCCAAGGTATGAGATAAAAGATGAAATGGGGAGAAGAGAGTGTAGAGAAAATTAAAGAAAGAGAACTAATCATAAGGAAATCATATAAAGTGAAAGAGTAAGAATAGAGACAGCCAGGATATTTGGCTCAGATGCAAAACTCTGAGGAGTCCTTGGATTTAGACTCTGAGGGAAGCTCCCACCAAGTGTCCAATCTGAGGCAACAGCAACGGCCAAAATTTGCCTCAGAGGTATTGCTTGGGTGCCCTTTTCCTGGGGGGGCATCCAAGGACTCCTTGGAATTTTGTTGCCGAGTCAGCTATGCGGGCAGTGAGATTACTTACACCACGGGAATTATTATGTCCGAGACCCGATTGAGCAAAGTTGTGGTGTCCGAGTCCGCAATAAGTCTCAATTTTTGGATTGAAACCTATTAAAGGCAAGGGGGGGACCTTGGATTTTGATAGGTTTCAATCCAAATTTGAGACTTATTGTGAGCTCTGTCACCACATTAAGTTTCACATATGATTGAACCTAATAGATGCCCGTGGTGTTACTACAACTGTCTTTGATTGTTCACAGACCAATACACAAGGTGTTTAATTACCAGGTAGTAAGGCAGATTGATCATCTTGTTGGTGGTCATGAGTATCCCTCATGTCTCTGAGTCTGTCAAAAAGACCCCAACAAGAGTCAGATGATGGGATTATCCCTGGGACTCTTATAGTTGGCATGATCATACACAGCAAAGATTGTGGGGCAGGCAAACTGTTGTTGGTCTGATATCCAGAAGGTAAGCTTGAAGTAATAGTAGGCTGAGTGTTAGAAATTATATAAGATGAATTGGATATAAGATGAATCAAATCAAGTTGGAGCAAATACATTGGACTGTGAGTAGGTGGTTTGCTTCTTTCAAGTCAAGATGTCAAGTAAAAGAAATATATGAAGATTAAAAGAATCATCCAGGAAAGCTAATCAAAGCTGCCCATAGATTCTGTGAGAAGCACTCCTTGTAGGCTTGATATTCTAGATTTAGGTGATGTGGCAAGAATTCTGGTAGATGGGTGCTGTGCATCACACCAATACGATCCTTGAAGTGAGGATATGTTTGTTTTGGTCTGGCTTCAATTGTGAGGACCAAGTTCAACCAAATCAGAAGTTTGTGTGTAAGTTGAAGATATATTGCTTGTAGCGAGTAATTCTACATGCAGCAAGTTTTGAAGAATTGAAAATACTAGAAATTCACTTTGGTGCTTACCACACATTTCCAGACTAACTAATCTGGATACACCTCAGTTCTTGCAGCTCAACAAATCATCTTTCAAGATACCACTTAAACATCATCACACCAGGAATCAGTATGGTAGGTATTCTGATGTAGGATGAGCTCACAAACTCAAACCAAATGAGTCTCAGGTAGAATTGGTGTGTGTTTGCCAGGGATTATGATCATACTCTCCTCTTTCAGCCCAGGGCAATTCTTCACAGAAATTGGTTGAAGTAATGGATGATGGTCTTTCCTGTTTACCAAAACTGTTTTTTTCAGGAAGTTGGTTTGTACCACTGTTTCCAACAATAATCAAGACCATCAATGACTTGTTTTGTGAACCAATAGCTTAAGAGGACTGTGGATTGAAATTGCAAATATTATATGTTTTTCAAAGGTGAAAGATGATCAGATTTGATTCACAAAATCATTAATTCTCTCATCAATTCCATCATTTTTCTACATTTCTTCTATATTTATGAATTGGTTTTCTGCATTAAATTCAATTATCTTTCACCCTCACAAGAAAGATATTCTTTTGGGAAGTGTGAAGGGATCTGGCTGTTCTCATTGACCAAGGCATCCAACACAGTTCTTGGAAACAAACTTATAGAGATCTATTGTGGACTTTTCTGACCAAAAGAAATTCCATCCAGGCTGATCTGCTGAAAATCTCTATGATTATCAGGTCAAGAAAATCGACAATCTGGCTCAGTATTGATGAATTGTTTAATTCAAACACTCAAAAGGTTTTTTTATCTTGACTCATGAAAGGTTTTTGAAACAGATTATTTTCAAACCTCAAGAGTTCATGTGCATTGACCTTCATTAAAGTGAGGCAAATGTGCTTTTTGATTGTGTTACATTGCATACTTGTATGAATGTGAGGTATACACATGCAAATCTGGCTGCTCAATGGGGCCTTGAGTGTTTTAGACACGCGAGAAACCAAAGTACATCCTGTAAGTGTTGTTGGCCTTGACTGTTGGGTGTGCTTGAAGTCTTGTGATCCGCCGCTTCAGGCATTAAGAATGTGAGATTTGAAGGTTATAGAGGGAGGGATAATTTTTAAGACCAATATGAGGGTGGTGCATGGATTGCTGAGAGATCATAAGTGTAGAACTTAAGCCGTTAAGTGGGTTGGTGATGAAGTTAGTTTAAGGTAAGGTGATAAGTACCTTAAGTTAAGCTTTGAGTTGTGATTTGAATTGAATTGAATTGAATTGATGAATTGGATTGACAAAGTATTTTTCAAGTTTTTAAGTGAATTTTACTTTTGATTTTTGATTTTGATTGAGTTTTGATTTGGTGATTTGATATTCTCTGATTTGACTAAAGAGAAATAGTTTCAAACTTATCTGAGTTTTGATTAATCAATCAATCAATCCAAGATGTTAGTAGCTCAATCTTCAACTTCTTCATCAATTCCTGAATTCGTTCGATCGACTTCATCATCCAATAACAACAATAATACTAACAATAATAACAATACTAACAACAACCATTCTAATGCTAGGATTAACTCAACATATCACCACCAACAGCAACAACAACAACAACCATCACCACCAACTCATCAAACTCAATCATCATCATCATTAAAATCAAATCATCAGACATCAAAATACAATCATCAATCCGCGCACATTCCTCATTCTCACCCTTCCAATCTAGTCCATCCCTTCCCTCCCCCTCACCTCATGATCTCACCTCAACCCTATAGCTTTAATCCTCATTCACTCTCTCCTCAATTAGCCATCTTCAATCCCCTCATCTTTCATTCAAATCAACATCAACACCAACACCATCAATCTGATCAAATCTCACCTACCTTCTCTCGTCCTTCTTCTACTTCAACCTCTCGTAATTCTTCTCCTTCAGGTCATAGTGATTATCTATCTCATCAATCAAAGCATAAACTTCAATCTTATCCTCAACCACTCTACGCTCAAGCTCATTCTCATCGTGGTTCGAATTCTTCATTACCTTCTTCTCATCATTCGAGACCGAGCATCGGAACCGGAACCGGAACCGGAACAGGATCTAGTCTTGTGCAAAACAGTCGACCTTCTTCAATTCATATTCCTAGTCGAACTCGTACTGATAGTACTCAAAGTGATCGTACACCTGTCCTTACAAACTCTCATCATCGGATCAGACGTGATAGTTCAACGAAGCCGTCTAGTACCACTTCTTCACCACGCGCCAGTCCTGCTCTTCAACCCCACGATCCTTTTTCTCAAATCAATCAAAACCCAAGTTCTACTAAACCTAATTCGAATCATCCTTCAATGTCGAATCTCAATAGTTCTAGTTCTAATCCTCATCCTCCTCGTCCTAACGCCATGGTACGAAAACCTAGTCCGTTAGCACAAGGCACACGTTCACCAGCTCCGCCACCTGGAGCATCACCTGCAGCTGTACCTGCACCTTCTTCACCTGCTCTAGCCGAAAGTAAAGTAGATCTGGCGAGTGAAGAGAATAGTGAAGAAACGATCTCTGAACCTGATCAAGTACTTGATCCAAGCACTCCAAGCACAAGTGTGGATCGAATGAGTACGACCACATCAACCCCAACAGGATTTCCTAATCCTACTCTAAACGTTCCAAACACTGGATTCAAACCTAAACCTAAGCTAGGATTCAAATTAAGAAGAGCCTTGAGTATTGGAGCCTTACATGATGATATGATTCAATCCTCTATACCTGAATCAGGACCAGCCCAACTGACTTCTCTGAACCGATCTAACACATTACTTTCACCATCGGTCATCACCTCTTCCGATCCACTCGTCACATCTAAACCTCCCAAGAGTAATGGGACGAGTCGAAGGTTTGGACTTTTAAACAGTCGAGCAAATTCGTCAACCGATAATCTTTCGATCAGTTCAACCGTCAGTTCAGCAAGTGTGATGATAAGAAAACTAGGAAACTTGGGTAGAACAGCTAGAAGGAATAGTGTGATGGGATTAACGAAGATTTTTAAAGATAATAAGAAGGAGAATCTGACGAGTATGAATGAAGAGAGTAGAGAAGAAGAAGATGTCAAGAAGGGAAAGAAGACGAATGAAGGCATGAAAGTGGTTGTGAGCGAAGAAGAAAGTTTGGATGGATTGACCCCAGCTGCTGCTTTTATTCTTAAACAGAAACAAGAGTATGCTCAGAGAGAAGCAGCAGCAGCTAAGAGTCATCATCATAAACCTAATTCGGCAAATGGATCTTCTTCATCATCGTCAAAGAAGTTTGAAAAACCGATGGGTGTGGTCTTAGGTAATCAGAGCGAAGGTGGTAATGGGGTGGATCCAAACGAGTCTAGAAAGAAGATGATTGAAAAAGAAAAAGAAAAGTTAAAGAACAAATGGAAGTGGGGATCGAGTTTTGGACAAACGTCTCAATCAACTCAACAGACCAGTTCTAGTTCATCAGTTCTTCAAAATCCTTTACAAACCAATTCAGAAACAGATGAGAATGATGATGATGATGATGAAACGACGTTGAGAGGAAAAGAAGTCTTGAAGGAAGACGATCAGGATGGATCGGATGAAGCGATTAGAGAAGAAAGAGAATCGTATGATGTTGATGAGTATGATGCTGAATCTTTATTTGGAAATAGTGTGACTTTACCTATGAAAGAAGCTTTACCGAAAAAAGGAATTCTTAAAAGTAAGCATCACAAAAACTGATTAGAGAAGAGGTTTTTTGGATTTCATATTGAAGTTTTTGTGGTTTTTTCTTTTTCGGTAGGTGTTAATGGTGAATCAATGATCAATAGAAGAGCGACTTTTGCTCAAAACCTTTCAGTTCATTCGACTTGGCCTCCAGCTATCTATGATCGAAGAGGTGGACCAGCTACTTGTAATCGATTGACTCCTAGTTTAGCTCAACGGATTAAAGTAAACCATCTCATTCATTCATTCTTTCTTTCCAAAAGTTAATGATAACCTTGGTTTTGTTGATGTGATTTCTTTTTTTTTTTTTGGTTTTTTTGGGGGGTTTAGGAGGAATTGAATGCATTTAAAATGGACGAAATGGAAGTTCATCATTCTTCGAGAGTTCATACTCATTTCTTTGTGGTTTGTTTTTTTCTTGTCTCTTTTTCTCTTACCAATAGGTTTAAGTTTTGTGAAAACTGATGTGTTGATGGGGTTCTTTTTTTTGGGGGGGTGGAAATTGGATTGGTTGAAAACTTTTTAGTAATTATAAACCCTTTGATCAAAATTTGGAACCAAAAAAAAATTCATTCATTTATTCATAAACTAAAAAGAAACTTGATTTTCTTTTTTCTTTTTTTTTTCTTCGAATTTGATTGGATTTTTTTTATTTTATAAGTTGGTTTTTCATGTTTTTTTTTCTTTTCTATATTTTAGAACACTTGAAGAAAGAATGAATGAAAATTGACAAAAGAGAGAGAAAAAAAAATCATTTATTTATTTATTCAAGCTTACTGATTTTTATGACGTTCGTTTTCGTTTAAGAATAACGAAAAAGATCTCTTTCTTTCTGATTTGGGTTTCTTTCTTTCATTTTTGTCTTGATTTTTTTTTTCGGTTCTTTTTTTTTTGATCAACTCGATTCTGGAAACACTATTTCTCTATCTCTTTCTCTCTTCTTTCTTTTTTTCATCTCAAATTTGGCTCTTCTCTCTCTCTCTCTTTCTCTTAGTTTACACATTTTTTTTTCTTATGGACTTTTCTGGTTTAAGTTTTCTTTTTATCTTTCTCTTTGTTGATTTTTGTTTGATATACATCTTGTGATTTTTCATTATATATAGGTTTTATTTATTTATTTATTTTGGCTTTTTCTTTTCTGACTTTTTTTTTAGATTTTTTTCTTTTTTTGGTTTTTTTTTTTAGATTTTTTTTATTTATTGATATTTTTTTTATTTACATCAAAAAAAAAAATTAAACTTGATCATCTAAATTCCAACAAAAGAAAGTAACCTTCAAGAAAAAAAAACTTGATGGGAAATCAAATCTTTTTATGAAAAATGAATGAATGAATGTTTATTTTAACTTGGGAATTGAAATTGGTTTTTGTGTTTTAGATTAGAGTTATATATAAATACAACCAATAGATTTAAATGAAAGAAAATAAGATATTTTAGAAAAATGATCAGTTTGGATTTTTTTTTCTTTTTGACTTTTATTCTTTTTTGGGGAGTTTTGGTTTTTTTTTTGCTTTATTTTTTTTTTGGTTTTCTTTTTTTGTGGTTTGAATGTACATGATTTATTTTGAGATAATGAGAATGAGATTGAATTATGAGCTTATTGGTTGATGAAGAAAGAGAAGAAGAAAGAAAAAAGAGAAAGAGAAAGAAAAAGAAAAAGAGGAAGAAGAAAGAGACAGAGTCTTTAAAATGAAATAGATTTGATTACAGAAGTTTTGAAAATTGTTGATCACAAGTTATTTTGTTGAGCTAGGTACATAAGCCGCCTACCCAAGCCTGGTAGTGTTGAGTGATTTGAATTGGATTTGGGATTGGTGCCAAAACAAAGCCAGATTCAGAAAAAAAAAGTCAGAAGTGGCTGTGGACAATTACGGTACTCAAAGTTGAGTATAGTTGTATATGGTTTTTGGTATATAGTTTTCTCACGACTATATACAAGTATCTAAAACTATATTTTCGAGGGGTAGTTTTCCCTGCTTCCATGCCACGTGCTCCTGTATACCCAAACTTTTCATATCCAAATTCATACCATGCCCCCTCAATCATCTACAGTTCCAAACACATGCACCCATTCAACCAATCTTTGCAACGTGCTTCAAGAAACCCCATCAACACCTTTAAATTCCACTGATGCCGTCTGGAGTCTTGCTCATCCGCTAAGCAGTTCTGGTGCAACCCCCATTCAAATTGTATTGCCTTATCCTGCACACCATCCTTTCATTGCTTCTGGCTCACCCCTTGTCTTCATGTATCCCACAAGTCAACATCTTCCAGCAGGCACTGCAGCTTCTCTTCCTTCAGCAATAGTCATGCCATCTTCTATATCATCAAACACTGCTGCAACTGCACCTACAAACCCTGATGCAACGGAAGAACCTGTGGATAAGCTTAAGAAAGGACGTGGAATTCGAAAATCAAACAATCAACCTTCAGCTTCTTCAATGAGCAAAAGCAAGAAGAAAACACCAACTTCTACAAATGCCACAACCAATTCAAAGAAAACACCAACTTCTACAAATGCTACAACCAATTCGACCAGTGCTGAAGATGGGGCAACTCGGAAACAAATTTCATGGCAGAAAGAATTAAATTCAGAAGGGAAAACAATGTTGGACTTGATAGTAGAATGGAGTTGTTTAACTTGAGGTGATCAAGAGTTCTCAGGTGACAAGCAGTGGATGTGTATGGATAGCATCGATACAATCTCAACTAACTACAACAGATATTGGATGGGCCTTCCAGGAAAGAAAGAATGTTCAAGGAGATGTGCTCTGTATCTTGGTGCAAGAGGTTTTGAAACACCCAAATGGGATGGTGTGAAACAGAAGGTTATTGTTTTATTTATGTACTTTGTCTTCTGGTATCCAAGTTTCTGACTTTTTTTATCTTTGCCCTTTTACTATTTAGATCAACATTTTGGAAGCCAAATTCAAAGAAGCTGAAAGATGGTGTAAGTCAACTGGTGAAGGGGGGGGCGCTACAATCCAGCAGGGTGTTGAGATAGATATTGAGGCTCACTGAGCAAAGGGGACTTTGACCAAAGAGAAGGAGGAATAAATCAGGATGTTGGCTGCAAATACTACTAAAGGTAAGTTAGATCTCCTTTTCTTCCCAAATGGTGTATCTTTATAAAAGCTAGTTCTCAACAGTAAAACACTCAAGATCCTAAAAGGTATCTTGAGATGACGTCTACGCTGGATTGAACTGTAGTAGAGAAATGTGAACACTGAGGGCACAGGTTCTGGGGTTCTGGCGTTAGACTACAGCAATCCGCTAGTCAACGTCGAGAACAGGAACTAACCTGCGAGCTCAAAAGGAAATGAGAGCACACGTAAGATGAAGGTTAAAACAGACAACTAAAGTTGATTAAGATTGATTCTTTTCGACATTACTAACCTGAGGGCACAGGTCCTGGGGTTCTGGCGTTAGACTACAGCAATCCGCTAGTCAACGTCGAGAACAGGAACTAACCTAACACACCAAGAAGACAACACAAGAAAAGAAAAAGTTAAAGACAGAAAGACATCTCATCAAGAAGGAGAGAAGAAGTTCTACCTGCAAGCTCGAAAGGAAATGAGAGCACGCGTAAGATGAAGGTTAAAACAGACAACTAAAGTTGATTAAGATCTAAGTGATAAAAATAGAGATTATTAGTAAAATATGAGAAGAGAAAAAATTGATGATGAAAAATAAAGACAACTCACTGATTCTTTTCGGCATGAAAAGAATCAGTAAAAGAGGGAAAAGAAAATACAAAAGAGAACAGATAACCCCCAAAAGAATTCCTCCATTACCCCTTGATTCAATCTTCCAAATTGTTCACCCCTGTGTACATCTCATACTTGCCAACTCTAGCTCACTACATTTTCTAAATCCTCCACCACTTGCTCATTTCCTTTCTGGGAATATGATCTTTGACTACCTAATAAGATACTATCGTAACACACCCCCTCAAAGAGCATCAACCCAGAAACCTTAAACCCAAACTCTTCCTTAAATTTGAAAACTGCTCTTTAGGAAGTTGCTCTGTAAGTAAATCTGCCACCATCAAGTGAGTAGGACAGTGTCTGATAGTAAGATCTCCTTTCTTCACAACTTCACGTATCCAATGGTACTGAATTTCTATATGTTTAGTTCTAGCATGAAAGATTGATTTTGAAGTTGAATGTATTGCACCCAGATCGTCACTGTGTAAATTTGAACATGAATTAGATCAAGAGCGTCGGGCCTTGTCTGGGTGCGAGGGATCGGGGTTGTCCAAATTGGAGCTGGCTAAAGAAAAGACCGATATGATTACCAAACTTTGCACAGCTGGCCTTTCACTTCATGAGGCTCAAGAGATGGCTCAGGAGATCATTGATGGTCTTTAGTAATGTGAATAACTTCATTTTTGTTTCCCCTTGATGATGAATAAAGAAGTTTTCTATTAAATAGGCTGAAGAAAGTCTATTATGTTTGCAAGGCAATAGCTGATTTGTATATATCTCTCAATATATATCTATTGATTTGGTCAATAAAATTGTTAGTGACCATTTGATCACTTCAAATACAAATTTTTATCAGAAAGTATGGAAAGCTTTAGACTTTAACTGGTCATCAGTCTTCTTGTGTGATGTGACTCAGAATACTTACTCTTATAGTGAAATGAATCAAAATATTTGTTGTCTATGTTGCCCCAATTGTGTCAAAGAAATATTTGAATTTCACACTTAATTTTATGAGTCTTGCTACTCATCAGAGAGACTCATCAAAGGTGTGTTAGATGTTATAGCCAAAATAACTTCAAGTACATTTCACAATCAATCAAAAAATCAAACATTAAGCCAAACAATTACAATTCAATTTTGAGAGTTTTCATCTTAAACCACAAACAATTCCAAGATAACTAAGATAATTTGGAGAGATTTCATCTTAAACTACAAACAATTCCAAGTAAACTGAGATTGGTTTCTATGCTCTCGATAATGCCTAAACTGTTGCAGGAGCTCATTTCTTCTTTGATATGATGTGTTTCGATCCTCATAGAGTGGCTCATCAAAGTTGCGTTCATCATGATATTCTTGATGGGGTTCCACATCAATCAATGATTCTTTGGATTTGATTGAAAAGTTATGCAGGATACAGCATACCTTACTCCAGGTAACAGCACGTTGTGCTGAAGGTACGTCTTGGATAATGATTTGTAAGTTTTGCAATAATTAAAAACAAAGCTTAAGTTGGCTGTTACTGTGTTCACTGACAACTCGTTTCTCACTCAGAGCTTGGTTGAAATCACACCTGACTGCATCTAAGGTGTTAGTTCTCGGACTCTTGAATGTTGGAATGATATTCCGTGCACACGTATACCCAGAGTCCGCCAAAATGTATTTGTTTTTGCCAAAAATTTCGTCCGGATGCTGTGCAAGCTACACATACAAGATACAAGGCGAAAAATTCAACAAAAAATCCCC